CTGGAAACAATATAAAGTTAAAGATGTGCAATTAAGATTTTATTATTCTCTAATGAGAATAAAATGGTTATTCATGTTTCAGTATATGAAGCCCAAATGCCTAATGGGAATGGGGAAAAAAACTATAATGAATCTTCATTAGTTTTAATGAGTGTAAACATGGAAGCATTGAAGAAGAGTAGAGGAAGCTAATTCTGAGGAGCAGAAGTCCCATGAAAAACTCAGTCTATGGAGCTCTATTTCTGCCATCCTGCCTATCACAAGGTGATGAAATTTGAGGAACACACTAAGAAATAAAGATGCAGTGTCAGGCAGGTGTAGATCATGGAGGACTTGCACTATGTTAGATAGTGTGTCTCCTAGCCCATTCCCTACTCAGTGGATTTTCAAAGAAATAAACTTGGTCCCATTAGACAAAGTGGAAGCCAAGAAGACACACTCACCACTCTGATGATGAAACTTTTACTTTTATGTACTATATGCTGTGGAATAATCCTTCTGTACACTGTGAAAATATGCTGTTCTCAATGTTAATAAAAAGCTGATTGGCTGATAGATAGGCAGGATTTTGGGGGCCGAGAGAATGCTGGAAAGAAAAAGGATGGAGTCAGAGCAATTGCCAGAGAGACACGCAGAGGAAATGAAATGAGGTACAAGATGAAAGAAAGGTAATGCCATGTGGCAAATGCAGTTTAATAAAAAATGGATTAATTGAAGTTGTGAGAACTAGTTAGTAATAAGCCTGAGCTATCAGTCAAGCATTTGTAATTAATAATAAGACTCTGTGTGGTTATTTGGGAATGGCCACTGGGACACAGAGAACCTCTGCTTATAGCTATATATTAGAGATACACTTCAGAACATTTTTATAAAGATTTCTGGTTCTTTTATTTATTTATTTATTTTTGAGACAGGATTTCACTGACTAACCCTGGCTGTCCTGGAACTTACTATGTAGACCAGACTGACTTCAGACTTAGAGATCCAACTGCCTTAGCTCCCCAAGTGCTGGGATTAAAGTCGTGTGCCACTACAGCCTGGCTAAGAGTTCTGAGATTCTTAAAGTGGAGAAGGGAGGTGATAATCCTACTGTAGATGATGATAAATTGATACTTAGCAATACTTATCATTGTACAAGGCACTAGATAAAACTGAATCTCATGAAGCTAGCAATCAGTCACAAACATGTTCACTCAGTAAATGTTGTTGGTGTGTCTGTTAGTTGCCAGGATGCCGAGAGTGAACAAAACAGATATTCTGACTGTCTTCCTTTCTCCAGACCTGGCCTTAATCATTCTTCACTTACACTGTGTCCAGGAACCCACAACATGTGGATGACAGCAAGTGCTCTCCTATCTTATACCTAAGGATTGCTGGCCTTGGACAGAGACAGGAGACTAACATAAGTAAGTAAATCTTAAACTTCTTCCCTTAGGGTTGGTGGAAGAAATGAGTCAGGTTAAGGCAAAGGCCATAGATTCTGCCTAGTGGCTTATCCACATGGTCTCTAAGCTCAGGCCTGCTCCCTCACTTGCCCTTTGGGCCTACGCACAGTACCCCCTCCTGCTTTATTACTAGTACCAACAGTTCTTTCTGGATTCACATCTTGTCTTACCTTCAGAAATGCAGCAACCCCCCTTTATCCATCAGGAATATGTTCCAGTGGGTATCTGAAAACTATGACTGGTCCTGACCCCAATATACAAGCTCTTCAAAACAATAGCAGTTGATCAAATATCAAAGATATCTACAAAGTAACTATGGGGGCAATTAGTACATACCGGGTGTATATACTGGACAGTTGGAAGGTTCATGGACTACACTGCCTGGAAAGCATATGTAGAGTCACAACAGAGCAGACTCCTTGGGAGCATCAAATTTTACAAGTATGTAGAATGAAGTCATATGTGAGTCTGAAGAGCGAGGTGCTATTGGCATCAAGCTAATGGAGTTGAGTCACAGTCATATGAAGAAGAAATCCACAAAGGGAAGTACTAGAATTTCCCATTGGATTGAACAATCAGAAATTGCCTCTAACCTTTTCCTGGGCCCTTGCAGCAAGAGGAAGAGAGCAGAATTGAGGGATAAGTCAGAGGTGACTCAGAGGAGAAGGTGTGTGACACCATTTAGCTAGAAGCTTATTTGACAAAGTGAGAAGTAGGCAAGGGAAGCAGAGAGAGGGAATCTGAGGATTCGGACGATGGGCTGTCAGGAAGGACAAGTCCTGAGCACTTTACCGTGCTAAAATAACAGAGGTAAGAAAAAGAAGGTTAATGTCTACAAATGAGTTGACAGCATCCTTCCTGATCCCAAAGGATAGACTTCAGATATATACAGCCATTGGTAGGCACATGTGAGTGGAATAAAACCCAAAGACGTTAACACAGAAGAGGCTTCAAAGGTGGGCAGTTTCAATAGGGATGGGACAAACCATCATTAGTGGAAGGACTTGGGAGAGAGATGCTGTGAACGAATTTAAATTAAAGAACAACATGAGAGAACTTTATACTTCCTACTAAATTGAACCTGAATTTCTTGTCCTCAGACTTCTGTTTAATTTGGGACTATTCTATTACAATCTTGACTGCCTCTTACCAGTTAATATCCACAGACAACAGCCTTTCGTTTTATGCTCTTAATTTATTCCTTCAACCTAGAGTGTCTTTCCAACTCCCATCACAAATTTAGTGAGCTGAATTGTCTCCTCAAAGTTCAGATCCTGTTGGAACCTCATTAGAACCATATTGGGAAATAGTCTGCCAAGGATAAAAGTCACAAGGAAGGATTCCCCTCCCTCCAGAGGGGTATAGAAACTGAATTTGGTACCTCACACACCCCAGACATCAGCAATCAACTCTACCATTGAACTACACTCCAGTCCCTCACTTAACATCTTGATTTCTGACAATACTGCAAGTCCTTATGAAATACCATTAATTTCACCCCACCCAATTATTTGGGAATTAGGGACTTAAACAGCTAATTGATCCTTTATGTTAGCTTCCCTATCAGGAGCAGATTGCTTTCTTTTGAACACACTGAAATTCTTCACATTGAGGCCCACATCCAGTCGCTTTTTAGATCATCTCACAAAATATTATTTATTTTACATTTGATGAATGAGTGGCTGGTGATGGTTTCAGCCTTAGGAGTCATGTCTTTAGGATCAGGCAAAGACACTAGTCCTTGGGTTACATCTTCAAAACATTCAGCAACATGTCTGAGCACTAAGTCCCAAAGCATTTAGCCTGTAAGGGAATAACTGCTCGTGGGGTTAATATCTTCCTTCAAAAGGCCTAAAACCTAAACTGAAAACATCTCTTCACTTAAAGAAAAAAAGGCCAAAACTAAATGCATGTGTGTCTAAGCCTCCCACTTCGATCAGTAGACCCTCATAAGCCTCATCTCTACAGAAGGATAACACAACTGTCACTCCAAGTTCACCTTCAACCCAATAAGGAGACTACATTCATAACGGTCACACTCACTCACCCTGCCAAAAAAGACCATCAGTTAGTCACAATTCCAGCAGCGGTGGCCTTTAAAAACTACATTGGTGTCTCCTTCCTCATCATGCTCAAGATGGACAATTTGGGGAAGATCACATAGTATTTGTTTAAAAACTGAATGCTCTGACAACAGCTCGTATACACCATGCAATAATGTTCAGACAGCATCGCCCAGCTCCTCCTTGGGATGCCAGATACCTGCCAAGCAACAATAGCCATGGCCTCCTCTATTGCTCATCCCAACACCATGTTCTTGGTGATGGCTCAGGTACAGTCACTCCTGTGTCTAGAGCCCCTTCACTAATTTCTCATCATTCACATTTATGCTACTGAACCCCACTAGATTTAGTAAAATGCCTCTTGAGATGCTCGACAAATAAAAGTGCCAGGCTTCTGAGGCTCCAATATTAGAAGCTCAAGGTGTTTTAAACACAAGGTGTTAATTGCAAAGACAACTAGTGTGCTCAAATGAAGGGAAAGAAAAACCAAAGGGTCTTAGGGCAAATTTAAACAGAATATAAGCACTTGCAAACTTCGGAGTAATAAAACTGTCAAGAGAGCTTTTCAAATTCTATTACCAGGAGTGCTAATTAAACCTACTTTTTCTAAACCACCACTCGCTATACAACAGCATTTCTTTGCTCATGTCACGATTTGCCTTTGCGCTGCAGCACCGACCTACAAGGGGTCTCACTGCACAGCCTGCATCCTATCAGCTTGTAGGTTAAACTGGTTCACTGGGCTAATCCAAATTCTAATTATAAATATTTTTATTCCCTAATTCGGGCTGATTTACAGACTAACAGAAAGGTTCCACATCTGGGTGCCTAGCTTGTAATTTCAAAGGTTTAGGAAAATACTTCATCTTGGGTTTTCAAAACACGTGAAAACATTTTACTTAAATCCCAAAGTAGCTTTGCTTAAGTGAACATCATTGCATATGTCGCTCAGCAGAATTCACACTCCCAGCTAATGCTGGGCCCTAACTGCATGGTTTCATTTTGTTAGACTTTTGGACAAAACACTTTCAAACAATTGTTTTTCCATTCTTTGACAAACCGTGGCACAAGAAGTTTTCTCCGGGGGCGGTAGGGATCAGTTTTTAATTTTATAAACAATTAGCTAGTTAAAACAGACTGTAAACCACATTTCAATATTCTCCGAGTCTCTCCTACCTGAAGACGACTGGAAATATTTCTAATGCAAATTGCAGCATCATTATTTGTAATCAAAAACTTTAAGTCACTACACTCTAAGTTTCAGTAAAACAGAAATCTGTGATGCACTATTCTTGAGAAATTCATTAAAAATCGGCTTTCAAAGTTTGTTCCAGATGGAAGGTGCACTACAACTTCCTTGTTTGTAATCACAACCAGGACAGAAGGCTGGGAGGTGGAAGGTCAGGTGGGTTTTGGTGTCTGGAAGGAGGCAGGAGGACGTGGCGGGGGAGGGGTGGGGGGAGTGCAGGTAAAGGGGGTGGCCGCCACTCACCGGCTGGGAGCTCGGGCTGGATGCGCCCCCACCGCAGGGCCCGCGCGCCCAGCACCACATCGCAACTTTCCCTCCGGATCTGGAAGATGCCCAGAAGCAGAACCCGCTCGGTCACGGCCTCTGGGAGAAGCAGGGACACGAAGGGCGTCCCCTCCTCCAGGGCGCCCACCCGGCTCCCGCGTTTCCCCCTGAGCATGGCGGGCAGGCTGCTCGCTGGGTCCCTCCTCTAGCCTGCCAATGCCCTCCCTGGGCCTTACTGCCCCAAAGGAGTTCCTGGACTGCAAGTATTTCCCAAATTGGTTTGGGAGGCATCACCTGGTCCCTTGTTAAATAAAGTGCCGTGTCTTTAGTCCCAGCACTCAGGAGGCAGAGGCAGGAGGATTTGTGAGTTCCAGGATTTGTGAGGGCCAGAGCTACAAAGACTGTGAAAAAAAATAAAACAATCAAACAAACAAAACCCCACACCTCTAAGAATCTACTTATTGGGTGACTGAAGACGGTTTGTCAGGCAAGACACAAGAGAGTTTCAGTGTGGAAGACTGTCCACCTTCTCAGGGATCCCCTCTGAGATTCCCCAAGGGGCTACTTTAACACTATGATGATCCCTGCCTAGGGAGTATCCACAAACTCCTGATTTGCTTAGACAAATGTGAACCTTACAAAGTTAATATTAAGGGTAAGCACACCCCTGTTGTGGTGGAGCTATTTAGAGCCTTTCTCCAGATACCTCCTTCAGCTTTGGCTATGCCTGGATCTGACTGTTCAGCAGTGAGGACTCAGGGTTCACCTTTAGCCTTCTCCTGATAATAGGGGTGGTTTTCTGCTGGGGTTGCATATTAGAGTTACCTGGGGGTGCTGTTGCTGTTTAATCCAGCTGTCCTGACCACATTTGAAGAAGATTAAATTGCAGTATTAAGGGACGGAATCCAGATTTCAGACACAGTTCCTTGAGTAAGTCCAATATTTAGCCAATACTGAGAATGGCAACCAGAAAGCAAGAGTGGACTAGTCGCTAAAGGGGGGGGGGCGGTTTACAGGGTCTTTTGGATGTTATGAGGTAGGAGAAGTCAGTTGTTGAAGGGGGGATTTAAAACCAGGGTCTCCTATTCTATTGCCTAAGGATTTCATTCATCCCATAGGCAGCCAATTCACACTCTGTCCTGGTCACACTCAGTCAGAAGAGCTAGCTGCAGGAGGGTTTCTCTGGGCTCAAAGCTCGAACTGTTTGCTGTTGCCAAATCATTTCCAAGCATAAGTCTCCAGTGTGCCAGGTAAGCAGAGACTTCTGTCCAAGGCACAGAAAGCAAATACTCAGCCTTCCTGGGCAATCAGGAAGACCCCTGGTCTGATCTGATTGCAGCCAGGGAGCAGTTCTTAGGAGCAGCACCCCAGCTGTGGCCAAGCCTCTTGTAGGCAGTCAGTGGGAAGGGGCCTTGCCTGTCTCAGGAAGAGTTCAGTTCTAGAGTTAACTTCTTGTAGTCACAGCTGTCAGGCAGATTCAAGCTCCCTGGCATTTTAAAAGCTCTCTGATAGCCAAGGCAAACAGGCCAAGGCAATGGCTACTTCTTAGGACCTTTACAAAGGGGCAGGTTGCCATTTATCAAGCTTCAGTCAGGCCAGGAGTTGCAAACATTGGCTTTGACTTGCCTTGAAGATGGAAATAATAAGGACCATGCTCCTACTCTCCTGCTCTCTGTCTGATTTGCTGTCTTCTTCAAGGGTTCTAAAGATTTCTGTGCTTCCAGACCCAGGTCCTTAGGAACACACACACACACACACACACACACACACACACACACACACACACACACATCTATAATGGCTGGAGTCCCAGAGCAATTCCAGAACTGTTCTGAATTTCAGATATTATGTTCCAATTGGCTACATACCACTTCTGTTTACCTGGCCAAAAAACCTTAGAGATGTATCTAACACCTTATTTTCTATCACAAATATGTTCTTCCTAGAAGGTTTTAAATCAATGAATGTCATCAGAATCCCACACACTACCTTTTTATCCTTTGTCTCGTGCTTCCCATTCAACTCACTACAAATCCTGTGCATTCCACCCTCATGACTCACTTGTGTCAATCTGCCCTCATCTGTGTACTAGCATGTACAAAGACAAGAACCATGTAAATTGGGGGTGATGGAACACACTTGTAATCCCAGCCCTCTTTGGCCACATAACAAGTTCAAGATCAGCTTGAGCTACATGAAGTTCTGTCTAAACCAAAAAGAAAATCAACCCTCCCATTTTTCTTGGTGAGTACTCATTCCTTGACCCTTTCAGCTCCTACAGCTATGCTGGGTTTCTGGGCTCCACCCTTTCTTCCATCTTCCAAGCCAGCAGTTTCATAATATTTCTGTTTCCATTCATGGATTTCCTTTTTTTTTTATCTGACTTTGAACCCCCTCTCTGTTCCTCTTACAAGGAAATGTGTAATTCCATGAGAATTGCCTAGGTAATCCTTAGCTCAATTGTGCCCACAAAGTCACTTTTGCTATACAAAAAAAAAAAAAAAAAAAAAAAAAAAAATGTGTTTGCAGGCTCTGGGGACTGAGCTTCACATAGCTCTAGTCTGTTGTTAATCTACCATACTGTCCTCTATTTTTCTTAAAAAAAAAATGATTGTTACCTGCTATATACTCTTGTATATTTGCTGCTTCATGTGCTGTCTAGCACTTAGTATCAGGACTGCAGTGTAAGAAGTACTCAGTAGATACCACCTTGTTGCAGTAGGAAATGAGCTCCTTGATGCCAGAGTCCCCAACATTTAGCATAGCTCCTCTTATAAAGTAAATGATCAATAGATATCTGAAAGAGTTAATGAACTCCTTCAACACTTGTAACAATGAATCTAAAGTATCACAAATTTATTCTCTTAGTTCCTGAAGATCAATTGTGTCATCACATGTGATCCATGTTAGTGCCAATCATAATCCCTAAAGACATACTCCTGAATGTCATTCTGAGTGTTGAAACTCCTAATGATAAAAAAAGTATATAATTCCCCAAATCATGATACTGAAAGTTATAGTCCCAGATGGTAAAATCCTGAAAGTCTAATTCTGCAAATGAATGATTTCTACGGGGTGTGGGTGGTGGGGTGTGCTTAAAAGGGATAGATGGCTACTTCTATTTTGAAGAAGCCAGCAATGTCACTGACTAGTTTAAAGTGTGCACAGTATAATGGGAAGGTAATTATGCAACAGTCCACTTGAAAGTGCTCATTGTATCATAAACAGCACAGAAGAGTCCCTGGGAGACAAGGTACTTGGCTTATTCAGTGTCATGAAGGACAGAGCATGAAAAAATGATCCATGTCCCAATTTGCTTTCTATTGCTGTGATAAACACCATGGCTATATTAGTTGCTGTCTGTTGATGTGATAAAACACCATGACCAGGGAAGCCTACAGAAGGATTTATCTGGGGCTTACAGTTCCTTCGGGTTAGAGTCCATTATGGCAGATCAGAGGTAGAAGGCTGCAGGCAGCTGGAACAGCAGCTGAAAACTCACATCTGAAACACCACACATGAAGCAGAGAGAACTAACTTGAAATGAGTCATTCAAATCTCAAAGCCTGCCCACAGTGACACACTTCTTCCTGTAAACCTCTGAATCTTCCCCAGATAGCCACTAACCAGGGGTAACATATTCAAATGGCCAAGACTTATCAGGAACATCTCATTCAAACCACTACAATGACCAAACCAAATTGGAGAGGAAAGGATTTATTTCCACTTAGAGTTTAGAATCCACTATGAAGGGAAGTCAGGTGGAAAATATAGGGAGGAACCTGGAGGCAAGAACTAAAGTCATGGAGGAATGCTGCTTCCTGGCTTTCTGTCCAGGATCACATTCAGCAAGCCTTCTTATACACCCCAGGACTGCCTGCTCAGGGATGGCACTGCCCATGTTGTGCTGGGTCTTCCCACATCAATCAAGAAAATGCCCCCATAGACTGCCAACAGGCCAATCTGCTGGAAGCAATTCCTCAACTGAATCCCCTCTTCTGAGATTTCCATTTGTCTCATGATGAAACACACAGAATGCAGGCCCAGATGAGGAACTCTGGAGAGAAAGAGAGAGAAAGAGAGAGAGAGAGAGAGAGAGAGAGAGAGAGAGAGAGAGAGAGAGAAACACATTTGTGTATACACACACCAACACCAACACCACCACAGATGGTGGGCAGGAATGAGATCACAGGGAGTTACATAGGTCCTGTTTCCAATGACCACTCTTAAAAAATTATTACCCAAAGAATTGTTGATGTCCATTTGATAGCAAAAGCACTCAGTTCTTTGTCAGCAAAATTTCAACTCTGAAACTAACAAATTTTGGGAGAGTGAGGGAATGTCATGGGATTGAATGTTCACTGGCTGGAGTTCAGAGTCATTGCAGTTGGTTCCCACCAAAAGAGCTCCTTGTCCCTGCCCTATTGTAGTGTCTTTGTTGGCAATGGGGTCATCTGTCACCATCTGACACTTTGGGACATGATCCAGACTTATGCAGGCTGTTCCGGTGGCCTGTGGCTTTGGAGTTTGCCTCACCTTTCCTCTAAGCTTGGGTATTTTGTTTTCAGAACATATTTAGGGGCCTCCTAAAAATATTATTATTAAGGTTTATTTTTTTTGTTTTGTGTGTCTATGAATGTGTGAGTGCAGGTGTCACTGGAGTCCAGGGGAGGGTGTTAGGTCCCCTAGCGCTGGAGTTGTTTGTGACTGTGCTACTGACACAGATGCTGGGAAACAAGCTCAGTTCCTCTGTAAGAGCGGTGTATATTCTTAACCTCTAAGCCATTGCTCCAACCCAGAAAATATTTTATCAATATTATAGAAATTTCCATGGTCTTCCAGTCAGACTTCTAAGATTTCCATAGCCAAATCTTTGCGGATATAAATAACCATGTGACTGTTGGATTAGCACTGTTGCTAGTCAATGCTCTGAACACAAATACCCAATGTATAAGCATAGCAAAGAAAGACATGTTCAGGTTACTTCCTGAAAGACTTTTGAAATAAGATTTTTTAATGCATTAGTATTGTATGAATCCAGCTTGGGTTATAATTCCAAACAACAAAACACCAAAAGTTAACATCTCTGTAAACAAAATCCCTAAAGTTTAAAAAAACAAAGTATCAAAATCCTAGAGGTGTAATTCTCAAAGTATTTTTTAATTTAAATGTTTATCTGTATGTTAAAGAG